AGGCGCTGAGCAGGTTGCCCGAGGCAGCGTCGCGCAGCTCCAGCCGGTCTCGCGGGTCGGCCAGCTCGAAGAGGCGAAAAGTGAGCTCCAGCGCGGCGCCAGGCGGGCCAAGCGCCCAGCTGCAGTTTCGGTCCGGCCCGTACTCGTCCGGAAAGTCCGGGGAGTAGATGACGCCCTGAGGTGCAGTCCAGTTCCCCTGACAGGAGCCCACAGAAACTGTGGACGGAGCCGGCGGTCAGAACCCAGAGACCCGCAGGATCTATTTTCACGGGGCGTGGCACCATGCTGAAATCCCGCACTTTCCAGCCAGGCCCCGCCCCCAAGTTGGCCCCTGCATTCTCAGGCCCCTTCCATGGGTTTACACTGATCCCTTGCTCAAATCCCGCTCTCAACCCCAGACCCCGCGCTTGGCCCCCAGGTTCAGGCAAATTCTCTCTTCGGACCGTGACTCCGACCCAATCCCCTTCTCAGGCCCTGCCCCCACCCTGTGGCCTCCCGCATTTCAACCCTCCTAGCAGGGCATCGCACTCCGGATCCCACCCAGACCACTCCCCTTACCCAGGCCCCACCTTCGTAGATACCCAGGCGCCCATCGCCACCGCACAGCTGGCCTGGGTGGCCGAAGCAGATCTGGTCACAGTCGGTGGCTGGGGCTGGGTGTCCTCGGGCCAGGTCGGTTTCAGAGCCACAGAAGCAGGCATAGCCAGCCTCCACACCCGCCAGCTGAGAGCACAGACCGGGTGACCTCAAGGGCACGGTCTGGTGTAGGGGTGGGGTAATGGGAGCCAGGGGTCGGGCTTGGAAGTGGGAATAGGGCTGGAGGTTCAGAAATCAGTGTCAAGGTTTGGCGTCAGAATTGGAAGTTGATTTGGGTCCTGAGTTCAAGGTCAGGGGTCACTGGTCTGGGCCGGTGGGCAGTACCTGGTAGCCTTTCATGCGGCAAAAGCGAAGGCACACCTGGACCGTGAGCTTCGTTGAGGTGCCACTGGGGCCGCTAAGGGCAGGGGGTGCCCCCGAGTCCACAAAGCAGCCCAGGTACCCTGGCACTGATGGGGCAGAGGAGACAGGCTCTGTCCCGTGCCTCCAAAAGTGAATTTCACTCAGGCAGCCCAGCGCTCCCACCTTTGTCCAGCTGGGCCCACTCACTGTGACACGTGGGGATGTCGCAGTAGCGCCAGTAGATGCCCTCCTCCGTCTCAGCCACATAGCACCACGGCTGCACATCACCGTCTGGGTTCCTGCGGGTTGGGGGAATGTGGTCCCGGTCTTTCCCTCCCAAGGGCTGCAAACCCTAGGCCCCGCCCCAGGCTATTTGCAAAATGGCCACATGTATGGTAGAGCTCCTCTCCTCTCTGTCCGTCGACTTCCGAGTGCAGTGGGAAGTCATTAAACGGTCCTGACGTAGGATCTTAGGTCTTCAGCTGTTGCTAGGACGTGACCTCACATATGAGGACGCTGAGACCATCTGTAGTGTTCGCACCCCACCTCACCATGGACCTGGGCTAAGTGCCTTGCTTCAGAACCCTGTTTTAAAGCAAAAGTGGTGACTCCTATCAGCAGAGAAGCGTCTTCCCGCTCAGCTCGGTCTCTGGTGCTCCAGACTGCATTTGTGGCTCTGAACCCCCAACTCTTCTGTCACCGCTAATGATGCCCCTCAAATAAGCTGTATGGCAAGATCCTGACCCCTCACTCCAAGGCTCACTCTCTGGCTTCGCCTGTACGGGGCCCTTTGAGTGCTCAGGCCTGACCTGAGGTTCTGCAGAAGTGGAGCACCTAAGGCCGGACACGTGTCAGAAAATGTTCTGAACGCCCAGTCCAGACCCCAGCGTCGTCTAGGCCCTGTCTCCTAGCCCAGGCTCCACCCTCAGGCCCTCCAGGTGGACCCTGTACGGGTCCAGCAGAGATCTCCGCTCCGCCCACACGGAGCCGCAGCCTAAGGCCCGCGCCCGCAAGAGTACACCCAGTCCCGCCCCTAGCAAGGCCCCTCCCCCAAAGGCCCCTCCTCAAGCAGACCACGCCCCTGGCCCTCACCGGCAGAAGTTGTGCTTGCCCAGCCCCCAGCGACCCTGGGGGTCGCTGGCGCTGCTGTAGCTGTGCTGCTGCGTCTGGTCCCAGAAGAGGCACGGGCGGCCCGCCCCGCGCGGGCCCGTACGGTTCTGGTGGCCGCGGTAGTCGGCGCCGTTCACCTGGAAGCACTCGGACAAGCCTGCATGGCGACAGTGGGGCCTGGAGAGGTCCAGAGCTTCGCCCGACAACCTCCTCACTCCCTGATGCCAACTTTTGCCTGGCTCCTCAGCCAGTTTAACTGGCGCCCGCGGGGCCTTCGGGCTACTCAGCTACTCCACATGTTCTGCCCGCTCCCAAGGCTCAGGACCCCGGTCCTAGGCGCGAAGGCGGAGGACCGAGTGGCAACCGAGGCCCCGTGTCCGGGTCAAGACTCACCTGGGCTATGCAGGCTCCCCGCGGAGGCCCCGCGTGGCGGCAGCATCGGGAAGAAGAGGAGGAGAAGGAGGAGGCCTCGCGGGGCCCGTGTCCTCATCGCCCCCAACCTAGGAGAGGTTGTTCTGGCCCGCATAAGACCCGTGCTGCCCCTGGGGTCGCTCCGGGGTCTCCCAGGCGACTGGGGGGCGTTGTCCTCTGACCGTTTGTCCTCGTCCCACTCTGAACAACGCTCTCCGTCTGGGACGGGGAAATATCTCACGGGGGTATTTGCCTCTCAGGGTTTCTGCCCCTGGAGGCGTTTCTCTGCCCCTGTCTCTGCTGGGAGATCACTGGCCAGGGGCGTTCTCCGTTGCTGCCTCTCGGTGCTCCGAGTCTTGCCTTGGCCTCCACACCTGCCCCCGGCCGCTGCGCCTCGCGTCAGAGTCTCCCTAGCCCAAGTCTCTAACGCGCTGGCTCCTGCCCCCTTCGCGTCCCTCTGCGGATCCCTCCCCACTGGGTCCCACCCCTCCCCCTTCCCCCAAGGCCGGGAAGCCCCGCCCGAAACTGGAGCGAAGGCAGCAGGTCCAGACGCCTTCCACGCTCGCCCCGGGACCCTCGCCGTCCAGGCGCGCTCCCCCTCCCCCCGTCCCCCTCTCAGGGTCGGTGCAGGTTCTTGTGGGAGTGTGTGGAGGAGGACCCTAATGGGGGAGATACAGGACCCTCTCACGAGGCCACATGGCCCGGGACACCCGCTCACAGACACCCTTGAATGAAATGCACGCACGCACTCTCAGTCAACCATTCGTTGTCAAATGCA